CATTATTGAATTAACACCTGTTAGGAATGTGTACTGTATCAGCTTCAGACAACTCATTCTTTCTCATTCAAACTCATTCTTTCAGACACAAGGTGCTGCTCATACACATTGGCTGATCCACACAGAAAGGTTAAGATGCTCTGCCAGGCATAACTACCTATTCAATACAAGGTTTTCCTTTTTTTGAAATCTAGTTATGAAAACTTAAAAAATCTATTCATACAAGCTTTCTTTAAAGTGCATAAGATTTTCTCAGATAAGACTAGATTTCATTAGGTTTTAACACAGTGGGAGATCCTAATGCTCCAAACTGATAATATGCCCCCCTCCCCCCGGCATCTGCCAGCACGCCACCCATACATCACACACTTCACTGCCACTGGCCACATTTGGCCAGTCAGTCACAGGCCACCTATCAGTCAAGGCAAAACATTGGCAATAAGTGCAGGTTTCCTGTGAAAATGTTGGCAATTTCTAAACATTAGCATTACACTCACCTTTGGATCCTTTTCATAGTAATTTTGCTGCGTTCTGATCCAGCGTGAAACTAGATGATCCCTGACAGTATATGCCAGGGCAAGGTAATAGTCTCGAGCTGTCGCAACATTTCTGTCTTTGACCAGAGTGTAATGGACATGTCGATTGAAAGTCTTCTTGATGTTTACAACGTTTTCCACCTGGGCAATGCCACGGACACTGATTTGCTTGCGCCTTTCGTATTCACTATTAGTGGGAGGCACCCCAGACATTTTTGGATCAATGTGAAAACAAAAAATTTAGATCATTCGACACCGCCCCGAGCCGCTGCGAGACGAGTGAGACACACACCGTAAAAGAACCGAGGAAATATATCCGCGGTGATCCGCCCCCTCAGGTCACAAAACAAGCACGACTCGCGTATTTACAAATTGCAACCGAGCTCCGCCGTAGGGTATTTTATTTCCGCCGTGGTGTATTTCACTTGGGGGATTTTCTACCATACATCTGCCTGAGCTTAGGGTAATTACAATTTGTCGGCGACGTTCAAAAATGATGCACCTTTTTTCGCAGTATAGGATATCGCATGTGTATGTTTCTGCCTTTTTGGGTGCGCTTTATCGGTTTTTCGTGAGTAACTCGCGCAAAAACCGTCTGATCGCGACGAAACTTTCAATACCTCCGATTTTATCAATTTTACACCTACCCTGAAAATTTCATGACCTTGACCCAAATGACCTTTGACCCGTGACCTATTTCTCGAGACCATAATTGGCCCGAATCGCGATTCAGCGTATGTCGGTTCGCATTAGCCGCGCGGTTGCAGTCTTCACGTGGTTTCAAGCGTTGAAACATGTGATATGATGCTGGTCCCATGCATTAGGGTGGGTGTCAAGGTCACCTGAAGGTCAGGTCAGCTCAATGACCTTTGATGACCTCGGTTCACTTTTTCGAGTTTTACATGTTTCTAGGCTAGTTTTTGGAGCTGATTTCGAATTTAGCAACCATTTGAACATTACAGGGGGTGTAACGAAATTATTCGGACACCTTTCTTCCCGCTGTACTTAAAAAGCAAAACAATCTGGTACTTTTTCTTTTAACTGAGCTTGTAGCCACCTTTCATAAAAACACAGTGGCGAATGTTCTGGAGCATTTCAGCCAATGGATTCTCCAGCACACTGCCTTTGATGCGGACCAACGCCGTCTTAACCATGTGCCTGCGGTTGAGCAGTGCTTATGGCGGGTGGCTCTTCGTCTTCATACACCTCCTGCTGAACAAGAGCCCACAGGTTTTCGATTGAATTGGGATCGCGACTTTTTCCAAGTCATAAGCGTTAGCCCAGAATGATTGAAGGTTCTATCGGCATCACTTCCCGTTCTTTAAGGGACTTTTAAGTAGCGCGCCGCCCCGCATGAAGACAGCGTGGCTTGAATCAGACATCAGTGCGCGTTCAGAAACCGTGCCCTCCTATGCCGTCTGGCTGAGCGCCTCCAATCATGCTCCACCACCTTCCCTGGAAAGGTTCCACCCTTGCCAAACAAAGCAAAATTAACTCATTACCTAATGAAATTCAGGTTGGAGCAGAAACATAGGTAATAGGTATCTATGTCAAATTATAATGAAAGATTAAAATCAACCTGACCAGGCCTTACGGTCTGACCTGGTCCTAACCACCTTACTTCGCCTAACTTAACCCAATTCAACCTAGCCTACCACAACACCTGCAGAGGTACCTTCCTGGAAAAATGACGCCCAGGGAGGTGACTGTCCAACTTATTGGAATACTACCATGATTGCTTGTCAAAATGTGTGTCATGCTCTTGTTTGACAAGTGATGTATAATTAATGTGATTTTCAATAATTATCTCCTGACTGATGAGTGATCAAAATATTCAAATAATCAGGGTACAATGCTGTGCATAGTGCACACTAATTATGTTATTTTTGTCTAGGCCCTCTGCACATTGTTGTGTGCACTGCTATGTGCACCTTAAGTAAAAAAGTGACTGGTGGTACATGACAAAAGGTTGTGCAACTGTGAAGTTCATGCCCTTGGTCTTGCTGGTGCCAAATGCCTATAGCTATAGCAGGATCAGTGAGGGTTGTAGACATGCTACATACATTGTGCATTGAAGATATTGACACAAAGTTCATCCGTAATTACTATGCTTAACACCTAGCGTAAGAAGCGACATAAATGCCCAGATGATAAAGCTCTCTGGTCAACATCACACAAATTTATTGACATACTTTGCAGGTACATATTTACATTCATGGCAAATACTTTTGATTTGATTCAGAAACTAGTTGCTAGTAAGCTTGCATTTTTGTAGGTACAACAACGACCATATATTAAATCATAAAAAACCTTCTCATGGCATTCATCACATACCTTTTTACCGAACAAGTACCTAGCTACCATGCAATGATTCTAAAATTTGTCCACAATCCATCTATATCTCAACTGACACAATGAATTTGAAATACCCTAACAAAACCTATAACTGTACATCAGAAGAATGCAATACTACAAGAACTATGCATTTCTGAAGTTATTCTCACATGCTGGAATGTTGAAACTCTACTTTTGTCATCCATTTCCACGTATGATTGAGCCATCATTATAGAACTGTTTTCGCTCTTCAGTCATAAGCTTTTGCACAAATCTTGAATTTTTACACATCATCTTGAACCATGCTCCAATCTTTCCAACAAGGTACTATGGAACATCAAAGCAGTTTTGCTTTGTTACAACAGCTTCAGATCATGATAGGCTTGAGGTTTGTAATTTGTTACACCATTTGCCAGACAACTCTCTACAAAATGTGTATCAATTCCCAAACTAAGTAATTGATCATATCAGTATTTGCAGTTTCCACACAATGTTTCATAATACTATTCTATGTTTATATAAAGAAACTCAAATAATCCACAAATTGTTATTGAAACACTCCCACTTCAAGAATTCACAGCAATAACAGTAAAATTTCAGAAGCAAACAAACATTGCGCCAGATTTCGTATGAAACGCGCCATCGTCCTGAAGTTTCTACCACAGACGGTAGTTTAACCGCAGCCGTAGTGCGAAAACCCCTGCCCACCTTACCCCACGGCGGAGCTCGGTTGCAATTTGTAAATACGCGCACGGCTCCATTAGTAAAAGCTACCATATTCTATTATAGAAGTCGCTAACTTAGAGATATTATTTACGAAAAACAAGAAAAATTGCACTAATATAAACTTTAACGCTCTTTATGTAAACTTAACTCTCAAATTTCATATCAAACAATACAAGTGACATTTAGTGACCTAATGAATTAAAATGACTTAAAATTCAGCTTGCAAGCTTTCTGACCATTGAGACTTTCAGTTAATATTTTGAAGATAAATCTCCACTAAACCAAAAAGTCTCTGATTTGGTAGCAGCTTACATGAACCCGGTTTACATAGCATTTTTGACGAGGCTCTAGCTCGTTAATTTGGCGATAATTTCGATGCAGTGGTCTTCAAATATTTAGAGGGGATCATTTTGTAAATTGTTAAGCACCATTGGCATCTTTTGCAACACCACGGACGGAGATATAAGCTTGCAACAAACCCTATGTAAACGCGTCTATGTTTATGTGCTTGCGTGCCATCTAGTGGCAGTAACAAAAACTAATACTTAGTTTCTGCTCCTCATGCCTATGAAGATGACGGCACTGTTGCTATTGTGCCTGTTGGATGCCTGGGATAATTTCGCTTGAAGATTTTGGGCCAGCTAGAAATAGACAGCCAGGGAACGTGGAACGTCATTTCCTTCCCCATATCAATATGGAACCGGGAACAGGTGAGTTGGTACACCTTATTTCGATGCGGTCTACTCTAAACAGTCGCTGGTGGGTCTAGAAAGGCGGTCTTGTACGTACCCGGCAGCGTACGCTGCCGGCTGCGGGGGGGGGGGGGGGGCACATCCAAAAGTTTCTCCAAAAGCAAAAATCGCCTAGGATTTCGTTTGGTTACACACTGCTGCTTGCTTTAAAATAATCTTTTTCCAAAAATAGCTGTATAGTTTTTATTCTCGAAAAAAACGTAAATTTTTGTCAATTTCGGTCATCGCGGCGGGAGGATTCCCTAAAAAATGCCCCCTCCCCCCGGATAGGTATGTCAGTGTTACGAAGTCAATCAACGGCCTAAAAATGAATGTAGAATGAAAGACAGCATTTCGTCCTAAGCCCACAGTTTTCTCACGGTCGTCTGGTCGGAAACCTACTCATCCCGATTTATCCCGTTTCCGGCATTTGCCCACTGAAATCGGTTTGACGGCACCAGTTGTTCATCGCCTCAGCGTCACCCAGTGCCTAGTGGAAGGCAGCCACCAGGCCTGGTCCATCCGTTCAGCGAGTAGCGTCCAAGCCAGGCACAGTGCAATAGTGCCGTCCATAAGCGCACGTCGCATCAAACAGTACGCAAGATCTCCCCTTTCTCCGGGCCAACCCGGACTCAGTCCGTCACAGCCCGGCGGCCGGCCCGTCACACACTCGTCACCTTTCGTCTTTTATTGGTATCAAAGCACGTTAAACGGAAGATTGGCGCATGACAGAAGCAATACTGGCGCCACGAAGCTAGCTGCGGCGGCCGGGCGCCGCGGTCGGGTCGGTTCGCTCGGCGGCCGGGGTCGCCGGGCGGGTCACTCGCCGGGCGGGTCGCTGCTCTGGGTGTCCCGGCGGCCGCTGCGGCGAGCGGCGCAGCCCGGCGCCGCTATAGCGAGACGGCGGGGCTCCAACAATCCAACGGGGCCGCGATATTCCATCGAGATTACAGACACCGGAGTCGGTATGTACAGCCGTGATTGCATACGGGACTGCTTAAATAGACAGAGAAACAGAGAGCGAGAGAAGGAAAAACAAACACCAGTACGAGTCTGGCTACTGCACCGCCCCTCCCCTCCCCTCCCTCCCACCGTGTAACAGGTCACGCCTCTCCTACCCGCACACACACACACACACACGTATTACATGCACACCCACCCACACGTGCACGCTCTCCCTCCCTCCCACCCGCAGCCACACACACACACACACAGACGGGAGCGCGGCCGGCCGGCCGGCGATGTGCCGGCGCCAGCGCATCACTCCTCCTTCTTTTCCTCTGCCACCGGCTCGGCGGCCTTCTTGCCCATAGGAATGGCCGCCTTCACCCTGTCGGCAGAGCGGCACCCGTCAGCAGGTCACAGGTCAGGAGGTTACACTGGTCAGCACCAGTCATACGGGTCAACGCCGGTCACACGGGTCAGAGGTCAGAGGTCACCGGTCACACGGGTCAGAGGTCACGGGCCACAGCTCACCCTGTTAAACCGTGACAGGTTACAGTTCAAAAGGTAATGCTTATCAGAGGCCAAACTCGACCGAGGTTAAGCATCAGACGCCGCATGACTCAACAGCATGAATAAAAAAACTAAGTCTGAAAGTTTACGGTAAATATATCTGTTCAGTAAAGACAAAATGCGCCACGTTAAAAACGAAAACCTGGAGCGACCATCTTCTCTTAAAAGAACATTTAATTCGTCTTTCGGTTTCTTTTCAGTAAATGTGCCTGTGAGGAAAAATTGTTAATGCTAGTAGCTACAGCTAAAGACCGCAAAAGATGCGTCGATGGAGGCTGCGTCACAGCTGCCCTGGTCCGCTACCGGCACTTATCGGAGGGCTAAGGGACTGTAGGGCGGCGAGGGGCGCCGAGGGACTGTGGTGCGTCCACTTACTTAGCTGAGATCTCGGCGACCTTGTCCTTCACCTGGCCAAACACTTCGTCAATCTTCTCCTTGTTCTGTTCGTACACCTTGGGCAGCGTGAACAGCGCCACGTATCCTGAGGGTGGATAGTACACACAGCGTCACTGAGGGAACCCGGCCCTAATACCAGCAGCGTGAACAGCGCCACGTACCCTGAGGGTGGATAGTACACAACGTCACTGAGGGAACCCGGCCTTAATACCAGCAGCGTGAACAGCGCCACGTATCCTGAGGGTGGATAGTACACACAGCGTCACTGAGGGAACCCGGCCTTAATACCAGCAGCGTGAACAGCGCCACGTACCCTGTGGGTGGATAGTACACACAGCGTCACTGGGGGAACCCGGCCTTAATATTAGCAGCGTGAACAGCGCCACGTACCCTGTGGGTGGATAGTACACACAGCGTCACTGAGGGAACCCGGCCCTAATACCAGCAGCGTGAACAGCGCCACGTACCCTGTGGGTAGATAGTACACACAGCGTCACTGAGGGAACCCGGCCTTAATACCAGCAGCGTGAACAGCACCACGTACCCTGAGGGTGGATAGTACACACAGCGTCACTGGGGGAACCCGGCCCTAATACCAGCAGCGTGAACAGCGCCACGTACCCTGAGGGTGGATAGCACACACAACGTCACTGAGGGAACCCGGCCTTAATATTAGCAGCGTGAACAGCGCCACGTACCCTGAGGGTGGATAGTACACACAGCGTCACTGGGGGAACCCGGCCTTAATACCAGCAGCGCGAACAGCGCCACGTACCCTGTGGGTGGATAGTACACAACGTCACTGAGGGAACCCGGCCTTAATACCAGCAGGGCGAACAGCGCCACGTACCCTGTGGGTGGATAGTACACACAGCGTCACTGAGGGAACCCGGCCTTAATACCAGCAGGGCGAACAGCGCCACGTACCCTGTGGGTGGATAGTACAAAACGTCACTGAGGGAACCCGGCCTTAATACCAGCAGGGCGAACAGCGTCACGTATCCTGAGGGTGGATAGTACACACAGCGTCACTGAGGGAACCCGGCCTTAATACCAGCAGAGTGAGCAGCGCCACGTATCCTGAGAATACAGCACAAAACGTCACCGAGGGGCCGGGCTGGATCGTACAGACTATCACGGAGGTACCCGGTCCAACGATCGGCAGGGTGAACAGCGCTAGACGCCACGTACCCTGAGAATACAGCGCGCGCCACTGAGGGACACAGGCGTGACGATATGGGGGGGGGGGGAGATAATGGGGTGCTCGTATTGGTGCTGTAGCAGCCAGTGCGTGGATCCGAAAGAATGGGTCTGGGATCTCATCCAATAGATCCTGATTTCAGATCGTAAGACATGGACCAAATCCTTATTCCTTTTAGAGGAAATGCAGTGTCCCATGAACCTATGAAGGGGTCCTTTATTATGATGACCGGTTCCCTTCCGCGGTCAGGTAAGGGCCCCTTCCCGTCCATATGCCGGATGGGAGTGGATGATGCAGTGAGCGATCAGCCGCCGGCTCATCAGCGCCCCCCCCCCCCCCCCCGGCTCACCCATGATGACCCGTCCCCGCCCGTGTACCGTCTCCCGCGTCGCCCCGACTCACCCATGATGACGAGGGTCATGGTGTTGAACCAGGCGCCCAGGTAGGTGAGCAGGTACAGCACGAAGCCGAACTTGACCGACTCGAAGATGTCCTTGACGAGGAACAGGTCCTTCAGCGAGCTGGTGCAGCAGTTGAGCTCGGCCACCGCCTTGTCGGCCAGCTCGTGGCCCTTCTCCGGCGTGACGGTGGTGTCCACCGAGAGCAGGTCCCTGTCGGATAGAGGAGCGAGGCGTCATACATCCACAGGGCACAGAGAGCCTACACTGCACCGACAGCAGGTCCCTGTGGGGTGAAGGGGGGCGGCGTCACACATCTACAGGGCACACAGAGCCTACACTGCACCGAGAGCAGGTCCCTGTGGGGTGAAGGGGCGCGGCGTCACACATCTACAGGGTACACCGAGCCTACACTGCACCGACAGCAGTTCCCTGTCGGATACAGCGGCGGGGCGTCACACACAGCTCAGAGGGCACAGCTCGGAGGGTCGGCAGACAGCAGGTCCCTGTGGGGGCGGAGTGGCGTGGCGTCACACACAGCTCAGAGGGTCGGCAGACAGCAGGTCCCTGTCGGAAGGCGGAGTGGCGTGGCGTCACACACAGCTCAGAGGGTCGGCAGACAGCAGGTCCCTGTGGGGGCGGAGTGGCGTGGCGTCACACACAGCTCAGAGGGTCGGCTGACAGCAGGTCCCTGTCGGATAGAGCCTAGAGGAGCGGCGTCACACACCGAGGGTACAGCTCGGAGGGTCGGCAGACAGCTGCAGGTCCCTGTGGGGCGGAGCGGCGGGGCGTTACACACAGCTCAGAGGGCGCAGCTCGGAAGGTCGGCAGACAGCAGGTCTCTGTCGGATAGAGGAGCGGCGTCACACACCGACGGCACACAAGTCATAGTTCAGAGGCTCAGAGGCAGCAGTCAGCAAGACCCTGTCGAAGAGCGACGGCGGCGCCACACACACACAGGACTGACGGTGGGAGAGCGCAGGGATAGGCAGGTAGTAGCGAGGCGCGTCCACAACACAGTGACATCGCATGTTAACCTTCGCTGTATGTACACATCTGAATGCACAGACACCTGTGAATAGCAGAATAGCAAATGTGTAATATGATTTATAAATGTAATATTATTGTATATTATTGCAAATGAGTAATATTATTACAATGACACCATACTAAGGTAACTGCACATCAACCATAACGGTGAGAACGAGACTTGGTAACAACTCGGCGGTTTGAGTCCAACCAATGAAGCTCCACGTAACACCAAGCAGCCAATGGGCCGCCACATAACACCCAGTGCACGCGGTGGCTTTTAGCAGTGGTGACGTAACGACTCGTTCGTGAATGGAGGAAGAGGCAGCCGCAGGAAGGAAAATTCGCAGGAGCGAACGCCGGATTACGGGCGGGACACGGCGCACTAGCAGGGCCCGGCACGGACCACAGCCGGGGCCCGGCACGGACCACAGCCGGGGCCCGGTACGGAGTGGCCGCCGGGGCCCGGCACGGAGTGGCCGCCGGGGCCCGGCACGGAGTGGCCGCCGGGGCCCGGCACGGAACACCGCCGGGGCCCGGCACGGAACACCGCCGGGGTCCGGCACGGAACACCGCCGGGGTCCGGCACGGAACACCGCCGGGGTCCGGCACGGATTGTTCGCAACGGTATGCGAGGCTGGACGGACGGCACTGCACGGCCTGTCAGTCAGATCGTTTGGTTAGTTTGAGCCTAAAAAGCCTTTTAAAGCGGCCAGTTGACACAAAGAGTGCACCTGAATGTCCATTTAAACTCACTGGATGGGAGCCCGCTATTGATCAGGGTGTCGTTTTACAATAACTGGAACTGGAAGGGGTGTCCGTTACATACGTCGGGGGTATGTCGTTATACACTCATCGGAAGGGGTGTCCGTCGTTGGTCGGGGGTATGTCCTTATACACTGACTGGAAGGGGTGCGCCGTTACTCGCTGGAAGGGGTGTCCGTCGTTGGTCAGTGGTTGGTCAGGGGTGCGCCGTTACTCACTGTAAGGGATGTCCGACGGTCAATGTTGGTCAGAGGTGCCCCGTTACTCACTGGAAGGGGTGTCCGTTACATACGTCGGGGATATGTCGTTATACACTCATTGGAAGGGGTGCTCCGCTACTCACTGGAAGGGGTGTCCGTCGTTGGTCTTTTGCACCATGCCCAGCACGGTCTTGTAGAGCCGGAAGCCGAGTGTGACGGTGAGCAGCGCCAGCCCGAAGTAGGCCACCACCGAGATGAAGCTGCAGTAGAGCATGGAGAACAGCAGCACCAGGCCCGTGGCGAACGCCGCGCCCGACTTCTTCGGGTCGCGCCACAGCAGGATCTCCATCACTGTCGGACAGGGGTGGGAGGTCAGTCGGGGGACGGACGGAGGGGGTCAGTGGGGGGGACGCCATCACTGCCGGACAGGGGAGGGTTGGTGGGGGACTGCCATCACTGACGGACGGAGGGGGGACGTCAGTCGGGGGACGGACGGAGGGGTCAGGGGGACAGGTGGGAGACACACAGACACGCACACAGGTGCCGCCGGCCGCAGTCGGCACCGCTCGGACCCGCACCACCTGCGGTAGTCTATTGGTCACCACCATTACCCACACACCGCTCAGTCTCGGGTGGTGACTGGGACCGGCACACGGCGGCTCGGGGGCCACCCAGCCGCAGCTTACCGCCCCAGGTATCCATCATCCCACCAGCGCTCTGCCTGTCCTACCACCCGCCCTCTGGTCCAAACGGTCACCCACAACTGCTCACTGGCTGAGTTTGTTGCCTTTATTTGGCCGATTAGGTCGTCACCGTTGAAGTTCATATCCAGCGAAGGACCCATTATGTTTGCTGTTCGCTGACCTCTATCTAATTCACCATCATTAACCATCGTTACGAGCCCGCGACCGCAGCAACATGATACGGAAGAGAGCAGTTCTGAGTTCTGACCCAAGGCCCTATATACCGTTCTGACCGATACCCAGTCGGTGGTCCAGTGCAGAGGAGACGCACGCCCAGCGGCAGCCGCTATCAGTTACACATTCTGCTGCCAGTGTCCCCGAGCCTGTCCGATCGAATTTCGGCACAATAGACCACCCGTCCCGGCTGGGTGCAGCGATGGAGTGGGGGAGGGGAGGGCGGGGCAGCTCGGCAGCGGCGCCCGTTATTACCCTGGACAAGGTCACACGCAGCACACGGCTGAGCCGGCCGGCGTGTGGGGGAGGCAGGCCGGTGCTGTTGCGCCGCGCGGGGAGGCAGGGCGGTGCTGTTGTGTCGCCGCTCGGTCCGTGCCCGGTTGAGTTCCATCACGGTGACCTTGGCTGCGCGGACGGACGTGCCGGGCGACGGCCCGCCGGTCCGAGACAGAACCGCCGGCGACGGCAGGCCGCCAGTGACTGCTTCCCCCTGGAATGGGCGGGGGCTAGCGGACCACAGGACGTCTCCCCAGGGCCCTTACCGAGTCGCCACGACTCGGCAGACGGCTATAAACGACCGTCGCCGGGCGACGAGCGGCAGGCGTGACGCCAGCCGCTCACGGAAGCGCTACCATTTACGGTCCGGCCGCGGCACGACTTTCCCTAGTAGCGGCGGCCGAACACGGCTGGTCAGAGCCACCGGCGCGCTCAACGGCGCCGCGCCGGGGGTCCGACAGCGCTCCGCACTCGGCTCTCGGGCCGAGGCGTAGGCGGCACGCAGGGAATCGATACAGTCGAGCCGCAATACGGCACTGAGCGCCGAGTCGGACCGCGTGCGCACTTCCATTTCCTGTGCCGAGTTCAGAGAATGTTCAGGGAAGGTTCCAGTCCCGTGACGAGTTGCGGGGGCGGACTGGTGTCTGACCGGTGACTCGGGACTGAGGAGCGCCGGGGGCCGCCGCTGTCGGTCGGACAGTCCCCCGCCGCGCCGGGGGCCTCCGCTGTCGGTCGGACAGCTCCTCCTCCTCTACCGAGGAGCGGCGGCAGAGGTGACGTCAGACGACCGCCGGCGACACTGCCAACTCCACGGCCGGCCTGGCCGTCCGCCAGAACCGCCCGCGGCAGCCCAGCCGGGGGACGGGTCACACGGACAGGCCGCACTGTCAGACCACACTGACCCAGTGGCAGATTTAACATTCTGACAACCCACACTGGCAGAACAACGACCCAGTGGGAGAGAGATCGAACTGACTTTACTAGTGGGAGAACGGGCCAGTACTGACCAAAGTACCGAACGACCCAAAGACAGGTCATACCGACAAATAGCAGCCATATGAATCACCCAGCGACAGACATGACACAAAATCACATTGGACTTCGCAGAGCCGGACCACTGATTCACTCAGAGATGAGCCGAACTGACCGCAGTGAGAAAAGCCCGGCCCTCGAATGGCCACCAGCTGCCGCCCTTGGCCGAACGACCCATTGCATCGTATCGACACAGTGCCGACCGGGGCGACTAGTCCCCATTGCCATTGGTCTGCGTGAGTCAGCCAACAACTATCAAACAATCAAACAAACAGCGAACGTTTACCGAGCGGCTCCAGTTCAACTCGGTTCGGCGAGCGCCTCAGCCGTCCGTCAGACTCAGGGGTCAGGAGTCAGGCTCCGGACCCGGGGACACGAGTCAGGCTCCGGACCCCGGGGACACGAGTCAGGCTCCGGACCCCGGGGACACGAGTCAGGCTCCGGACTCCGGGGGCACGAGTCAAGGTTCCGGACCCGGTGACAGGAGTCAGGCTCCGCGGTCACGGCCACGGCGCCTGACCGCGCGGCCGGCGCTCCTCAGACTCACTCAGCCCGGCGGCTGTCCCGGTCTGCCGCCGGGCCAAACAGCTGAGAGGGCAGCTGCCGCGCGACCGGCGCTACCTGTTCAGTCCGGCGGCTGGGCTGTCCCGGCCGGCCGGCCGGGCGGGCGGCGGCCGACCAGCTGAGAGAGGATGATGCTGGCCGGTGGTACCGGGCGTCATCTGCTCTCAGCTGGGAGAAGGGCAGCTGCCGGCCGGCAACAGCCGCCCGCCCGTATCGCCAGCGGGCGCCGGCTGCGGCGCTCCGGTCACGGACGGCGGCTCCCACCGCGGCCGTGGACAGGACGGACGGACCGACAGGGCGAGTCGTGGCGCCCTGGTCTGATGACGGCACGACTGTTTTCGGGGTGATATAGATCGAACAATGAGCCTTCTGCCGGCCCCTACCACCCGCCGGACAGCCGGCTACCCGGCCGGACGGGACTGGCGAGTCCGGTCGCCGGCGAACTGGACCAGACCAGATGGTCGCCACTCGGCACAGACCCCGCAGACGCAGACACAGAGACACAGACACACGGGCTCGGATACATGCGACCAGAGGGATAGACACGAGGTCAGAGGAACAGACAGGCACACACCGGGACTGACTCAGACAGAGGCAGGCACGAACAAAGAAACAGGTATCCACACACGTACGCACATCTATAACACATGTGGGACGTGTGGGACTATGGCACAACACGCAGCCCGACTAATACACAAAGGCTGACATTGCACCGCCCCGGCAGCAGGCCGGCCTGTCTCCGGCGCCGGCGCGGTTCAGGGTTAATGGGAGCGTTCCCCCGGCCGGCGGCGCTGCCCGCGGCCGGCTCGGCTCGGCGGCCCGGCGCACCGTCCAGCTGCCGGCGCGGCCCGGCCCGGCGCCGCTGCGTCCCCCTCTCACCGGGGCCCACTTCAGGCAGCTCCTCCTCCTCGGCGGCCGTGTAGCGCTGGTTGCGCCGCCCCATGGTGGCGGGCAGGTGAACGGCTGACGGGCACGGAGACACGCACTGGCACGCACACAGGGCGACCGGAGCAGCGCGGCGGCGGGCGGCGGCGGCGACAGGCGGCGCGGAGTGGCCGAGCTGCGGCGGCCGCGCCGCGCCGCCGCCGCCGCCGCGCCACGCGGAACCTGTCGCCGTGACGTCACGAGCACGTCGGCCGGTGCGCCGCAGAGGGCGCCACGTCAGCCGGCCCACCTGTCGACCGGCCGACCCGGCCCAGCGTCGGCACAGACGCATATTCGCCGCCGGAGCGACTCGGCTGAGCGAGGCAGCAGCTCACGGTCAACGCCACCCCGAGCAGGGTTAGATGGCTGTTTATGGCCGCTCAATTGACCGAGGCCTCGCGAGGAGCCCCTCCGCTGCCCATCTTTGTTTGTCGGTGCGATCAGCGGAGCTCCGCGATCCGCGGCGGCCGGTGCAGGGGACCGGCCGGCCTCGGTCCGCTCTGCGGCGGTCCGCCCCGCCCCACAGCGGCCGGCTGAGAGACACCCGACCGGCGACCAGTCTCCCACGGCATCCGAGCTTCAGAGCCGCCGGTCGACATGGGACGGTTCCCGGTACCGGCAGACAGGACGGCGGCGGACTGGACCAGCCACAGCTCCATCCCGGCCCGGCCGGCCAAGGTCAAGGGCAAGGGCAAACTGCAGGCGGCGCCGACACTGCGCCCGCAGCGGGCAGAGGACAGAAGGGCGGAGAGGGGAGGGAGGAGGGACAGGCGGAGAGGCGGGCCGAGAGGACCACTGTGCGCGGGTAGAGGGGACCGCTGGGGGTAGTGAAAGGGATAGTGAAGCCCGCCGCGCCGCTCGGCTGATCCGCCCTGTGGTCCGTCAGTTGGAGTCGCCGTCCATCCGGTGTGCATGGAGGGAGCATTCCGTCCGCGGTTGGACCGCAGTACCACGTTACGACACCGCCGCCGCTGCACCGTGCCGGGCCGAGCTCCCGACGGCGGCAGGGGCAGAGCGGCTGATCGGCCTCCCCCTGGCCTGTTGCCGGCCGCCGCCGGGGAGCGGGGCCGGGCCGGGCGGGCGGTCCGCCGCGGCCGTCCAGAACCTCCCGGAGCGCCCGCCGCCGCCCGCCGGGGAGCGGGGCCGGGCCGCGGCCGTCCAGAACCTCCCGGACCGCCCGCCGCCCGCCCTCCCAGCCACTGACGCAGTTCAGGACGGGCGTTGAGTCACGGCTGTTGCACGTGCCGGTCAATACGGCACCCCTGTCCGCCGCTACCCGCCCCCAGTCAATGACTGGGGGCGCCGGTCGAACGCGGCACTCAACTCTGCAGTCGGCCCCAGTAACCATCGGCAACAAAGAGTACTCGGGGGTATAGTATACGGGTCGGCGGAGTTCAGGCACCGCCACACCTTGCCGGAAAGCACTGAGACGATCAACGTGATACTACAGCACCTCGCAAAGCCAACAGCATAAACTTTCCCCCATAGTAGGTAGGTATCCACAATGAAAATACGAGACGGGTTCTGAATCATACACGATACGGCGCAGCGGAGTTCGACTTCGCCCCAGCGCGCTGTTCTGGAACCAATAGGATTGCATCATCAGAGCCACCAATCGACCTCACAGCCCAATCGACC